TCCAGGCCAGAATATTGGAGTGGGTAGCCTTTCCCTCCTCCAGGGGATCTTCCCAACCCAGGGATCGAGCCCAGGTCTCCCATACTGAAGGTGGATTCTTTACGAGCTGAGTCACCAGGGACGGAAAGGTATGCTTTTAATTTCTGGGGCTCAAAAAAAGGCAGGTATTTTTAATTCCTGGGGCTTCCATGGTGGCTCAGTGGTAAAGAATCCGTCTGCCAATGCAGGAGACGTGAGTTCGATCCCTGGGTCGGGAAGATCCTCTGGAGAAGGGAATGGCAACCCACTCCAGTATTCTTGCTCAGAAGCCCATGGACGGAGGAGCCTGGCGGGCTACAGTCCATGGGGTCGCCAAAGAGTCGGTCACAACTTACCGACTGAACAACCACAATTTTTAATCTCCAGTTTTTATGGAGGAGAAGACAGAGGCTCCAAGAGGTTCTGAGATTTGTCTGCCGGCCCTCGGGAGAAGCCGGGTCTCACAGACTCAGCGCTGCCAGGCGCAGGTAGACACCACGCGGTCTGGCAGAGGCAGCAGCAGGGCTGGGTTGTCAGCTGTGAGGATGACACCTGGATCTGCCTTCCACTCCCTGCTCACTCCCTCCCCTTTCTCTTTCTCCCTGTTTTCTTACAGAAGAAAGTCTACTGTTTAATTTGAAAGCCAACAACATCTGGATCTAAAGCATTCCTGCTCTAGGAGGAAAAAAAGCAAAACCTCGAATCCCCAGGGTGTGATGGTGAGGGTGCAGCCGGTTTGTCCCCTGCAGAAGAGGGCGGAGCCCCACCTCTAACACAGGCCCCACCTCTAACACAGGCCCCGCCCAGGCCTGCTCCCTCCACTCCGAGAACACACCAGGTTTCGCATCCCAGACGGTGGCTCTGAGGATGGAGTGGGATCCTGAAGCCAAGTCCTCCGGCAGCTGTCCAGGGATACCTGCACGTAAAGGGTCAAATTCCTCACCCCAACCACGATCGCCCCAGTTACCTGCACAAAAGTAAACCTGCCTTTTCACCAAAGAATATCCCGGGCTCCTGGCTACACCCTTAGGACGTGCTGTTTCCACCTCTTGGCATCCTCTTAAGATGATTTCATCTTATTCAAAATATTAGTGGGTAAAGAGAGCAGATGGGGCTTCTCTGGTGGCTTAGAAGGTAAAGAATCCGCCTGCAATGCAGGAGACCCGGGTTCGATCCCCTGGTTGGGAAGATTCCCCTGGAGGAGGAAATAGCAATCCACTCCAGTATTCTTGCCGCAAGAATCCCATGGACAGAGGAGCCTGGCGGGCTACAGTCCATGGGGTTGCAAAGAGCTGGACACAACTGAGCGACTGACACTTTCATTTTTAGAGAGTGGATAATGGAGGATTAACAGTGGGATTTGCCCTGAGTCCTACACAGGCCCAAAGGGGCCCCAGGCTACATGTCCACCACCGTGTCTGCCACCTCCATACTTTCATAAGACAATCAGGGCAGAGCTGAAAAGGCACTGGCGGGTACCAGGGGACCAGTCCACTCCCGTTGTTCAGTCACTAAGTCATGTCCGACTCTTTGTAACTTCATGGACTGCAGCACNCTTGATGAAAGTGAAAGAGGAGAGTGAAAAAGTTGGCTTAAAGCTCAACATTCAGAAAACTAAGATCATGGCATCTGGTCCCATTACTTCATGGCAAATAGGTGGGGAAACAATGGAAACAGTGACAGACTTTATTTTCTTGGGCTCCAAAATCACTGCAGACAGGGACTGCAGCCATGAAATTAAAAGACAATTGCTCCTTAGAAGAAAAGCTATGACAAATCTAGACAGTTTATTAAAAAGCAGAGACATCACTTTGCCAACAAAGGTTCCTATAGTCAGAGCTATGGTTTTTCTAGGAGTCATATACAGATGTGAAAGTTGAACCACAAAAAAGGCTGAGCCCCAAAGAACTGATGCTTTCAAATTGTGGGGCTGGAGAAGACTCTTGAGAGTCCCTTAGACTGCAAGATCAAATAAGTCAATCCTAAAGGAAATCAACCCTGAATATTCACTGGAAGGACTGATGCTGAAGCTCCAATAATTTGGCCATCTGATGCAAAGAGCCAACTCATTGGAAAAGATCCTGATGCTGGGAAAGATTGAAGGCAAAAGGAGAAGAGGATGGCAGAGGATGAGATGGTTAAATAGCAACACTCACTCAATGGACATCAATCTGAGAGAACTCTGGGAGATAGTGAAGGATAGGGAAGCCTGGTGTGATGCAGTCCATGGGATCACAAAGAGTCAGACACAACTTAGCCACTGAACAATGGTTAAGTTACGGCTGCAACACAGAAATCTTTACAGCGCAAGTCGACTGCATTTTGGAAACACGCATTGTCTGGGTGTCTCACCAGAGTTCTTTCCCAAAGAGCAGATCTGGAGAAGACAACGAATCTGTACATTGGAATTATGACGGGAGTGGGAGTTAAAGCAGGTATATGAAAACAAGGACTTTCAGAGATTCCGGGGCAGATTAGTCTCTTCCGGCGTTAGTTTATGCATGTGACACACAGAAATCACACTCATGTAGTAAAATGAAATAATTCCATGAGAAAAAGCTTTGCAAAGTCTAAATCAAAATGTGTGTATTTTATTCTTTTATATAAAATCAGCTTCCCTGGCGGCTCAGATGCTAAGGAATCCGCCTGCAGTGCAGGAGATCTGGGTTCAATCCCTGGGTGGGGAAGATGCCCTGGAGAAAGAAATGGCAACCCACTCCAGGATTCCTGCTTGGAGAATTCCATGGACAGAGGAGCGTGATGGGCTTACAGTCCACGGGTCCCAAAGAGTCGGACATGACTTGGCAACTAAGCGCACATATAAAATCAACTTACATCTCCACCTCAAGGAGCATGAGAAATCCTTGATGTTTCTAAACCAGACTCAGACTAGTCTTTACGGCTCATGCATGCTGATGCAGGGCAGAAACCGACACAATCTGGTAAAGCAATTATCCTTCATTAAAAAAACAAACAGCAACTCCTTCAGCATTTGGTTCCTGTTTATGCTGATGACACCCTCATGCCCCTAGGCGTCCAAGCTTGGAAACGTGCTAGAGACCTAGATCTGATGCAAGAATGCAAGACCTACTCTGATGCAAGAATGGTCAGTTCCTCCAAAAAGAACCTGCTCAGGTCAGCCCCTTGCTCAGAAATCATTGACAACTGGCAACCCTTCTTGCACAGCAGGTCGCCCCCAAGACCCTCCCCGTCTGGCCCCATCCACCCTTCACTCCATCCCTGCCTCTGCACACCAGCCACCTCGGCCACACAGCCCTGCCCAGCGGCCTCTCTGCTGGAACCTCCAGCCCCAGGCACCCTGTGTGGTCACCTCCAGCTCCGAGTCCCCTGCAGAGCCGTTCTGCCCACCCTGGTGATGCTCACGTCCCTGGGCTAAGAGCACAGAAACACTCCCCGGTCCTTGGACCACTGTTTCCGCTTGAAATGACACTTTATGTGAAGTCTCTCTTGCTTCCTCAGTTATGAAGTCCACAACAGCAGTGATTCCTATTTTCACTCCTGCAGTGTGATCTCATTCCAAAAAGAACCTGCTCAGGTCAGCCCCTTGCTCAGAAATCATTGACAACTGGCAACCGTTCTTGCACAGCAGGTCGCCCCCAAGACCCTCCCCGTCTGGCCCCATCCACCCTTCACTCCATCCCTGCCTCTGCACGCCAGCCACACCAGCCACACAGCCCTGCCCAGCGGTCTCTCTGCTGGAACCTCCAGCCCCAGGCACCCTGTGTGGTCACCTCCAGCTCCGAGTCCCCTGCAGAGCCGTTCTGCCCACCCTGGTGATGCTCACGTCCCTGGGCTAAGAGAACAGAAACACTCCCCGGTCCTTGGACCACTGCTTCCGCTTGAAATGACACTTTATGTGAAGTCTCTCTTGCTTCCTCAGTTATGAAGTCCACAACAGCAGTGATTCCTATTTTCACTCCTGCAGTGTGATCTCAGTCCTGGGACATAACGGTACTTGTTCACTGAACGAGTAAATCAATGCATCTTGGGGTCTTCTCCTCCATGTACCCCCACCCCCGCTCAACACTCTCCAAGAAGTAGAGAGCGCATACAGCGCCAGAGGGACGGAGCCCTCGCAGAAGCCAGGCCGCTGCAAATCCCCTGCTAGCCCTCCGGGTAATTAAGTTCTTGGCAGAAGAAATAACCTCATCATCTAGTTTTATTATTCTTCCAAAGCACAATCCCAGAAGCAAATTGCGTTTGAGCTCTTGTAAACCATCTGACACCTCAGAGAATTCATTCTAGCTCCGAGGACAGAGCTCTTGTTGTGTGGAGGACATCAGCCGTCCCACAAACCAGGCAGACCCCACGAGACCGACGGGCCCTGACGCTCTGTCCTCAACAAAAGGGCTCAGGGCAGCCCCTTGCTCAGAAATCATTGACAACTGCCAGCCGTTCTTGCAGAACAGGTCGCCCCCAAGACGCTCCCTGTCTGGCGCCATCCACCCTTCACGCCATCACTGGGGTGAAGCGGGGGTTACTCATGAGGACACAGTCTAGATCCCAGAGGAGCTGGTGTTCCAGGCCCAGCAAACCACAGCCTTAAGCGGCAGACCCGGCCCTGCCCGCCCTGGTGAGGAGAGTTGGCCACGGTCTGTCCACGCCAGTCCTGGAGGCCACGGGACCAGGAGCTCCACCGTCCACCAGCCGGCCCTTCGAGAAAGACCCTGCAGACCCGTTACAGAAAAATGTAACAGGAAAAAATAACCCTGGGGATGTCTTAATGATGCACAGTTTTCTATTTAGAGTTCTCTCCTCACACCTTCTCTCATGCAGAGGGGGCTCTATGTTGTTTCTGAAGAAGCAGGTGAGTCCGTCCCCCTAAGGAACAACCGCAGGGCCTTCCAGGCGGGAGGCACCTTCTCCAGAAAAGCCCACTGAGGATCCTGACCCCCGGGGCCCCGACACCTCTGTCTCCCCATCGTGAAGTTCCGCATACTTTACAGACGTGAAAGACTCACGGGCGCTTTCTGCTCTGCAAGCGGTGCAGCCGGCCTGCAGCCTCGGCCCGGCGTCCCTGCCTCCGCCACCTTCTCCCCCACGTTCCTGGTCTCGCGGGCACCGGGCGCCCGCCCCTCGCAGGACGGCAGCTTTGGTTTCGAGCTGCTGCTGAGCTCTCCGGGCTGAGCTTTTCTGAAGAGAAACAAACGGAGAATTATCAAAACACATCCTGCAGTAAAGACAAGCTTTCCCCCAAGTGGATGTCTACATTCAAACGATGCGAATGGCGCTGATGGCAGGCTGAGCCCGTGCGAGGCATTTAAAGACGTGAACCAAGTCTTCACAGCAGCCCTGCGGGGACGGTGCGGTCATCCTGGCTTTGCTAAAAGAGGCTCAGGATAACCGTTATCCCGCATCCAAGGCCCAGCAGTGGCCAGGACTGGAATCCAGGTCTGCCTGGCTCCCGAATCAGAAGTTGAACAGCCTTCCTTCTGTTCAGGAACAGAGCAGAGCGGAACAGAGCACACAGACTTCGCGTCCTCAGCAGCACAGAGTCCCTGTTTTTCTCCTGTGCGCCCACCTACGGCTGTGAAGTCACAGCCCTGGGGCGTGGGACAGAGGCCCCCTGTCTGCTCCTGTGTCTCCTCTCATGCAGGGCTGCCCACACTCGGGGCGGGGTGCCCAGAAGCCACCCTTCCTGGAGCTTGAAGCCGGAGGGGGTCCCAGAGCCTCACTCACTCCTGCAACTACGCTGCTCTTGCTCAACGTTAGGGAAGCCCAGGGTCATCAGGGAACCACGTCCGCGACGTCCCAGTGGGGACGCAGGACAGCCGACATGGTGGCGTCTTGAGTGGAGGGGGTCCCCCGAGGTCGGAAGGGAGAACTTTCCAGAAACGATGCCACCGTGTGCCCTCGAGGCCACCTGACCCTCCCACAGGCTCCATCAGCCAAGAAGCACAGCGGCCCCTCTGGCCTGGCTGGGCCCTCCCGGCCCCGCGGGTCCACACCTGAGCTCCTGCGTCTCCTGCTCGGCCTTCAGCCTCGCCCTCTCCGCGAGGATCTCATCACAGATCACGTCGTAGGGTTTGTCCAGGTGGTGTTCGCCCATCACCCAGACCCAGACCTCCTTGTCAGCTCCCAGTTTCCAGTGAACGGATTTGCCATTGTCTGCAAGCAAAACAGAATCTGATTTGAACAAGTATCTTCGGCCGTGGGTTAGGAGGTTTTCCGCCGTTCAAGTATTTAAAGATCAGATGAAGCGAAGCACGTCCAACGTACTCTGAGCAAGCAGCCCCTTCCAGGGCGGTGGCTGGATTGTCTGTTTTAAATCATGATGAGTGTGGGTTGTGCATATGCCCTTTTTATAAGTGAAGACTCGAGGTGGGAAGACCACTCTCTGCGTTATCTCTAGGGTAACGGAGCCAACATCAGACACATGAACCTCTGAAGCCTAAGAATCTCCCTGCAACCCAGCTGCTCTAGGGCACGGCGTGTCCACCATCTTCCTAGGATTCACTGCTGGGTCCGAGGCGTGTGTTTTAGAGTCACACCAGCTTTGCTTTAAACCCTAGCCCTGCCACTCAGCTGTACAATTTGGAAAAATCATTTCATCTCCCTAAGCCTCAGTTTCTTGTCCACACAACGGGAACGCTAACGTCCGCTCCGGAGGACAGCCATGGGGGGAGGCAGCTGTGGGGGCAGGTCCCCGGGTGTCTGACACACGACGGCGCTCATCAGAGCTGGGTGCAACCGCTCCTCTGTGTTGTTGACGGATGTGGCAGCTGAGAAACTCCCATCAGCCGTGAGAGACGATGTGCCTGGAGTGGGAGACGTGGGGAAGCTCCTAGAATAGCCCTGTTCCCTGCTGGTTGCTGTGTTTACTTTCTAATTCCTGCTCCTCCGACAGGCACATCAGGCTCCCTGACACCCGGGACGGTGGGCCATCCCCTGGAGAAGTCGGAGGGGGGGCAGTCCTAGGTCTGAAGGTCCCGGAGGGGACTCACCAGGCCATGAGGGTCCTCAGCTCATCCTCATCCAGAAGCCTGAGCCCGAGGACACATGCTCACCAGCGCTGCTGAGTGTGTGACTGGGAGCGGCTGCTGGAACGCGGGCCAGGCCGGGGAAGGGTCGCAGAAAGCAGGGGCCAGCTTCCCATGGAAGAGTCTCCGTCCAGCGGACGGAGGACCAGCGTCCTGCTGTGGACTCAGGACGCGGCCACTCGGGGCCAGCCTAGCTCTTCCTCTGGGCACCTTCCATCCTCAGGGCTGCAGGGATGCTCTGGGTATAAGGTTCTCAGTAGGACAGTCAAGGCGTCCCTGGGGGCTCAGGGGTAAAGAATCCACCTGCCAATGCAGGAGACACGGGTTCGATCCCGGGGCCGGGAAGACCCCCCCCCTCAATGCCGCGGAGCAGCCAAGCCCGTGCCCCACAGGTCTTGAGTCTGCGGCTTTGCGTCCGGGAACTGCAACTAGAGAAGCTGCTGCAATGAGAACACACACAACTAGGGAAAAGCCCGTGCAGCAATGAAGACCCCGCACAGTCAAAAAGTAGATAAATTATCAACAATAAATAGGATATTGGGGGGGCAGGGAGGAGGAGTCAGTCTGTGCTCAGAGGTGGATGCAGGTATGAGGGCAGGTCAGTCTCAGGTGGGCCCTGGGTGGGGAGGCCGGGTCAGCTCCAGCTCATTGAGGAGATGCCCACAGGTTCCTTCACCGTGGGATGCTGGCATCCCTCACAAAGCCCATGTACTGCCTCCTCTGGGGCAGCTAAGAATGTTCCCACTGTGTCCACCTCTCGGTCTTCACCTGACAACCGTCTACCAACATTCGGGCAGCAGGAGGGAGGTGGTCGGAGACGGCGTGGCCGAGAGCCAGGGGAGGCGGGAGGGGCTGCAGGGACCCCTGGGCAGGGACCTCTCGGGACAGCAACACACACTCCCCCCAAACTGTGTCCCGGAGCATAATGCAGGGCACTCGGGTGCATGACTACCGTCGGGGGAGGCCCTGCTCTGGGGGAGAGGAATCCAGAAACCCTACGAACACAGGAGGGGCTGAGAAGCAAAGGGGAGTGGCAGCCAAGGGGAGGACAGAGCTCCCATAGCTCTAAGGGGGTGGGGGCGGTGTAAGAGACGGTGGCTTTGGGGCAAGAAGGAAGGGGGTTATTGGACGTGTCAGATAGCATCCCTGATGGGAGTCTCTGCTCTAATGGCCCCTCTCCTTCGGGGCAAAGACCCTGGGGTCCTCGGGGGGTCCACACAGCTCCCTGAACCCGGGGAGGGGGGTGCCATGACGCCCTCGGCGTCATGCCAAGACAGGGAGGGCTGTCTCCCACGACATTCCCGCAGCGTCCCTAAGGCTGGCGGGGTGCAGAGCTGGGTGCTGCGGGGTACACGGGGTGAGACACCCTCCTGCAGGTCACCAGGGCCTGGGAGAGGAGGGCAGGGCGGCAGGTCACCGACTTGATGAACTTCGCCACCTGGCTGCTTTGTGCCAGGCCCTGAGGTGGACTCTTGCAAACAAGACAGACCAGTCCTGGCTCCCAGGGACTCACATTCCAGCTAAAGGAGGCAGGAGCTGAACCACTGGTTAATTACAAAGTAGCAGGACTGAGACGATGACGTTAGTCACTCAGTCGTGTCTGACTCTTTGCAACCCCATGGACTGTAGCCTGCCAGGCTCCTCTGTCCATGGGATTTCCCAGGCAAGAATACTGGAGTGGGCTGCCATTCCCTTCTCCAGGGGATCTTCCCAAGCCAGGGATCAAACCTGGGTTTCCTGCCTTGCAGGTGGATTTTTACAGTCTGAGCCACCTGGCTGAGGGAGGGGTGTTAAATTTCTAGAGATGGGGGCGGGTGGGCAGGGGGACATACTCTGTGACCAGGAGAGATTACATCCAACAAGGATTCAGAGAAGGCAGGGGCTTCGAAGGGACAGAGAGGAAATAAGTTCCTGGTGTTCAGCTGGGGAGGCTGGGTATGGAATTTAGACAGAGAACAGAGTGGCTTTGGTGCTGGACACGAGGAACAGCATGACCGAAGCCCAGGGACGGGAACCGGTGAGGGGCCACGTGGAACCGGGGTCTCCGCCAGAGCTGGCGAGGCTTGAGAAGCTGCCTGGCTGTGGGCTGAGGTCACACGGGGAGCGGGAGCCCACCTGCCCAGGCCCCGGACGCCCGGTGAAGGGGTTTACATGGAGGGCCTGTGTTGCATAACTCCAGAAAGCTGTACCAAAATCCCAATGCTTACGGCACTTTATTTCTCCAGTCCAAGTTTCCTCTTTGATAAAACAGAGAGGATGAGTCTGAACTCACACACAAGTGCTCAAAAAGGATTAATTCCGTGTTCTCGATCTAACGGACCAACCAAGAGTCCACAATTGTCAGACATGACACCACAAAACTCCCAGAAGTGAACATAGGCAAAACATTCTCTGACATAAATCAAAAAACAAACTGCTTTTGCACAGCAAAGGAAAACCATCAACAAAATGTAAAGACAACCTATGGATTGGGAGAAAATATTTGCAGACAATGTGACCAACGAGGCTTAATTTCCAAAATAAACGAACAGCTCATACAGCTCAATACCAAAAGCAAAACAAAACAAAACACCACCCAATCAAAATGTGAGCAGAGAACCTAAATAGATGTTTTTCTGAAGAAGATACCCACATGGCCAACAGGCACATGAAGAGATGCTCAACATCACTAATTATTACAGAAATGCAAATCAGTACTACAATAAGGTATCACCTCACACTGGTCAGAATAGCTATCATCAAAAAGATTACAATAATAAATGGTGAGAGGGTGTAGAGAAAGGAAAACCCACCTACACTGTTGGTGGGAACCAAAGTTGGTGCAACCACTATGGAAAACAGTATGAAGGTTCCTTAAAAAACTAAAGCTACCATATGACCCAGAAACCCCACTCCTGGGCACACAGGGGACATCCACTGACCCTGGGCTGCAGCGTCCACATGCTGCCTGAATTCGCAACGCCCCAGGAACTGCCCACCGCTCTGGCTGCTCCTCACAGTCATCCACCTCTGACCCAGAAACCAGAGGGCAAATGCCTAGCTGGCAGGGCCTCTGGGATTTGGGTGCTATGGCCATGTTCCTTCTGACCAATGCCCGTGCCAGGTCTGCCTTGAAATACGTAGAGCATCACCGAGGCTGTTAGTAACCCTACTCAGTCATGACGAAATCGAGGCTCCGGGAAGGTAAGTTCCTTGTCTGGGATCGTAGAGCTGGTGCAATGGGACCAGAATTCCTTACCTGCCTGTGAGGCAGTAAAACCTGCGTTTAGAGCCACCTCTGATGCACTGTCCAGGCTGAAATACCTTTGAGAGCAAAAACAGGAAATCCACAATCAAGAATGGCAGGAAATGAATGTTTGCAGGGCTCTGCTGAGCGAGCTGGGCACCGGGTCGCCGTCCCGGCCCCGCAGAGCAGGACAGCGGCAGCCCCATGCGTGTTTCCATGAAGACCAAGGCCCAGTCCTGGGCTTCCCTGGTGGCTCCGCAGTGAAGAATCTGTCGGAAATACAGGAGCCGCAGGAGATGCGGGTTCGATCCCTGGGCGGGAAGATCCCCTGGAGGAGGGCATGGCAACCACTCCAGTGCCTGGAGAATCCCCATGGACAGAGGAGCCTGGAGGGCTGCAGTTCATGGGGTCGCAAAAGAATCGGGACACGACTGAAGGAATTTAGCACAGTAAGGCCCAGTCCTATGGGGACTTCCCTGAAGGGAGTACAGGTAATAATTCTGCAAGTCTGTGTTTTAAAACTTTGAAAATATTTATTCTAGAGACAGAAGGGACAGAAAGGGAGCTGGAGAACCCACAGAGCGCCACCGTCCCGGGCAGCAGGTGGTGGCACAGACAAGCGAGTAGGTGACTCGGGGGGAGGCTGGCTGGCCCACGGCTCCAGGGGGTGAGAGGGAGCGTCCGAGTGGGCATCCGAGTCCAGCACTCAACACGTGAGACCCAAGGCTGTCACACTATCCAGCCCAGAGTGAGCCCAGAGCGGGCTGGGACCAGTGGCTCAGAGCAGACTCAGATCTGCTGTTCAAACCCGGACTCCACCAGTGACCTGCCCATGTCACTTTCTCTGTTTCCTTATTTGTAAGAGTCAGGTGGCGGGCCACGTTCACCTCCCTGGATTCTTA